GTATGTGGATTTGAATTTATGGGCTGCAAGTTCCAAAATATAGTAAGTTCCAAAATAGTAGTAAGCACACACTTACTACTTAGACATTAGCATAACCAGACCCTTTTAAAGATTCCTGTTCGTTTCTTAGTTGGTTGCATCCACTCTTTACTATTTAATAAACATGAATTCTTAAAGCTTTAATTCTATTTGATTTTTTTCATTGTCTGCAACGTGGTTATAAGAAACTATGGTGTTTGCATAGTTAAAGTACATGTTGGTTTATTTTACTTGGTACACATTGAACACACTGTAGTCATGGAGAACTCATAAAAATAGGGGCCTGTGCGTAAATAAGTCTGGCCATCATTTGATGGATCTGGGGGCCTTGAATCCAAGTTTGTTGTTAATCAGCCAGTGCCACCATATTTGCTGAAAGGAAAACATGGTAACCGGTATCCTAGCTATACATATGTGTGGTTCAGTTTTTTAAAACTTTTTTGGAATGCTATCTGATACTCTCTCTCTGAAGCTGTTGTTTATTGGAAATAGGCAGAGTTATTTAGATATTAAGGCATTGAGTCCCAGAGAAATGCAAACTGTTGTTACCTTGTTAAAGAGCAGAGGTTGCAAGTGTTATGTAAAATGACCAGCATCTTGGAATTACTGTAGTTGGTATTAGTTGTCACTGACATTTTTATAATGCAGTACTGTTAATGGCAATGGAGGCTTTGGGTTAACATATTGCTAATACATTATTATTTCATTTTTTAAAATCTGAAAATATAAATAAAAATTAAAAAATGCCACCCAACCTCTAACATTGCCCTTAAAAATAATGTGTAGGAGGAAGTGAGTACTGTAAATGTTACTAATTACTCCAAGCCTATAATATATTAGTGTCAAGATTAAACTGTGACAAAACATTGCCGTTAACACCTCATTATCCCCAAAACACAGTGCTCCCAGATCCTCTTGCATAGCTGTGCAAACGACATGTTTGGAGTTGAATTGCTCCCAGTTAAAAGTCACTGTAGACATTAGTGGTATGGTAAATCATACAACTCAATATGCAATGTCTATGGTGATTTCTTAACTTGGAACAGTTCTCTTGAGCTATGTATAACCAAACAAGTATGATATGAGTAATGTGTCTGTTTCTAATGTATTGTTTCCAAGTTCTGTTCAAGAGCCATTAGGTACAGCAGAGCTTAAGGACATTTTTCTTGGCTATGTGTAATTCTTCAGTAATGTGCATTTTAGCAGTTTCTGTTGCATATACTTCCTCTTATGGAATGTTTTCACCTGAACGACTGAAGATGGAAGTAGATATATTTCTTACCGGTCAGTATTTACATGCAAATTATTTCATCCAGCAAAAAAAATCTTCCTTTAATTATCATTTGCCCAATGTCTTCTAGAACCCGATGACACTCTTTGCTGCTCATTTAGTATGGTTAAAGAACAAACTTGCAAAACTGCCTAATCTCATACTGTCTGCCCAGTAAATTAAAATTACCTGGTTTAAAAGCAGTCTGTCTGTCACAACTGCAGAATATATTTTCTCAGTGTGGAAGCTTCTTGCCAGACAGACAGACTTGCTGATTGCTACCTCTTGCTTATTTGCTTTAGAAAGGTTATTGGTAGGCATTTGAACCAGAAATCTGTGTTTCTTGCTTTTCCTATATAGGTGTGATTGTGTTTGTCCTTTGAACATGATCTTTTCTTTTCTATTTAATACAGTGTGTTTTATGTGGAATGTTAGGTTGCCTGGTTCTATGTGAGAAAAAGACGGCATAGAATGATAAATAAACCTGCTCTTCCCTACTACTTAAGACTATCTGCAACTTTGCTACATCTAATTGCTTATAAGGGTGTGTTTTGTCTGTAACCCCTTGCCTTCTGAAGGTCCTTCACTATTAAATCATCACCTTGTGTTTGAGAGAATATTTTCTGATATCAATTTTTTGTTCCTGCAATGTTTTTAATAGCTGTTGCAGGCAAAATTATTCTGTGGTTTCACTTGCGTTCTCTTAACAGTTATCCATTTCCCAAAAAATATAACAGGGAGAGGGGAAGCACTAATACTGCAGGCATCATTAGTCTGTGCACTTTTTCCTCATCACTTGCTCTTGTATCACAACTGTAAGAGATACTCAACTTGTATACCAATGGACGCGCTTCTAGCTAATTCTGCCTGTGATAGTCCTGTGGATTCTTGTCATATCATAGTTCATAGTTAAGAAATAAATGTATTGATGGATGCAGAAGTAAACAGCAGGAAAAAATAACCAATTCTTTAAAAATTGAGTATTTTTCTCTTTTTCTTTTCTTTTCTTTTTGTTTGAGCAATTTCTCAGGTCTTTATTTGTGCTAGTTATTCAGAATGCTGAGTACTATGATTGTTGTCATTTATTTTGTTGCCAATGAATGTATCTCCATAGCTATCTTTTACCACACATTTCACTTAATAATTTGGCAGTTTCCACTGAAAGGCAGTTCAGCTAACATTGACATTCAGAGTCAGCAATCCAGTGTTTCTGTGATAAGGTGGGCTGTGTTGTGCATTTTAAAACTCACTAACCAGCAGAGGGCAACATTAGGTGTTCTCTATTCCATTAGGCGTCCTCTATTCTACTCCTCTGTTTTAGGAGAAAAGACTCTGAGGAGGCCCAGATGGAGTCCACCCAGGCTTAAGAGGAGGTTCAAGGAGAAAATCCCAAGTTGATAGAGCCACTGGATTGTCAGATAGAGCTATTTTGACTCTAATCGCTCAGTTAAAACATGACTTAAGTGTACTATGTAGATTTATGTGGATCTCAGTTCTTTGTCAGTTATGGTGGTATATATAAAAAATCAAATACATAATCAGAACAAGTGCATTCCTGTTCATATTTTTGTGGTCATTCTAACTTGGGTCTCTCTTCCATCTTCAAATCACAGATGTGTGACAGGAAATCATATTGTGTCGGGGAGGTGGAAATAATCTTCTTTATTAAAAAAGATTGAACACATTGTTGAAACTTTAAGCATCTGGAAGACCCTGGTTGTGAAGAGGCTGAGAATTAGAAGTGAGAAGGAAGGAAAATCTATCTTCAAGTTGGAACCAGTAGAGAGAACTTAAAGTGTAGCATTGCATCCATTTCTCAATACCAGGACTGGCTCTTCTCTTAGATTGTCTTTGCCCTTGTATCTGAAGCCAAGTGGGGAACTGTGTAGTTGTAAGGAATTTGTGTTACTGTTATTAAGATTATCTATTGATCTATTACTTATCTACCCCACTTTTGTAGCTTTCTTTTACCACAAAGTAGTAGTGGGCAAGGTAGCGCAAAATCATCATTTTTGTAAAAGCAGTTAGTAAAACCAAAGTTCATTGTGTAAATTAAAATTAAATCTACAAACAGTTAAAGTCAGCACAATAACTTTAAATAAATTTAAAAAATGAGTCTTCACACTCTTTCTAAAAGCAGTGAGATGTGAGACTTAATGAGTTTGTAAGGGGGAACTCATTCCACAGTCTTCTCAGGAGAAAGTCTTCTCTCACACGCCAGTCAGGTGGGCCTCTCCCAAAGGTCTTAGCGTTGGGACAGTTTCATAATGTGGCGGATGGTCCCACAGATAGCCACATCCCAGTCCATTTAAGGTTTGAAGATTAAGGTCACCATCTTGGAATGGGCTGAGTAAGTAAACAACAATGCAGGAGGCAGGCAGCAGGATTCTTATGCTTACAAGGAACTGTGGCCTCAGGAATTTCTATAATGATCAGTAAGAGCAATGAAAAGGCAGAAACAGGGCGGGTCTGATTTAATGCTTTTAAATCAGATTTTAAAAGATGATTTAAATTATTTTTTTTTTTAAATTTTGAATCGTGATTTAAATCAGTTTGATTTTTTTTTTTAAAAAAACTGATTTTTATCCATCCTAGGCAGGAAGAATGTGTGGGTATCCAGTGAGTGATAGGACTGGGGCTGCAGTGCAATTAGATAATGAAAACTGATGGTCCAAATGAGGAATGGGAATGCAATCATATTCAACACAGAAGCTCTTTGTTCTGAACACTGGAGCATGTTGGGGTTCTTCAGTATCCATTTCAAAGCATATTTGGAAAGCAAGCTGGGAGCTTGCTTACAAAAACCAAATAAGGTTATCAAGATTGTTTGACATTTTCAGACATTGGAAAGCTCCCTTCATGCAGGTGTTTAGAAGTGTGTGATCCATAGCTGCGCGTTGTCACTTTGCTCCAGCCTGGAAAAAGTGAAGATTCTTTTCTGCAGAATGAACCAGAGGTAGTTCCGTGTGATAAAAACTTCTAAGTCTGCTTCTGTTTTTGCTCACCTCCCCCAACCCCCACATATCAAGACTATCTGCCTCCCTGACTTCTGTCTCACTAACTTCTACTGAGGACAGCAGGAGTACAGAATGGCTAATATTCTTCTGGGATTGTTTTGGAAAAGGCTGATAGAGCCAGCACTGGAGTTGTAAAGGGGAAAAAACAATAGCTGTAGTAGCAGTACTGCCTGCAGCAAAGAGATAACATTACAGCAGTACCATTGTCTGGCAGGCCTTTAATGCCTACTTTGTTGTTGTTCAGTTGTTAAGTCTGTGTGACCCCATGGACCAGAGCACACCTTGGCAGGCCTTTAATACCTACTTTGTTGTTGTTCAGTCGTGACCCAATGGACCAGAGCACACCAGCTCCTCCTGTCTTCCACTGCCTCCCAGAGTTGGGTCAAAGTCATGTTGGTAGCTTCGATGACACTGTCCAACCATCTCATCCTCTGTCGTCCCCTTCTCCTCTTGCCTTCACTCTTTTCCCAACATCAAGGTCTTTTCCAGGGAGTCTTCTCTTCTCATGAGATAATGCCTACTGGGATGGATAAATTAATCTTGACTTTGTGCATTATATAGCCTCTTTACAGAAAAATAGATGTGCTCTTTTGAGTAGCTAATGCTCTAAATGATTTCTTGAATACCTAAAATGTGTCTGTGTCAAACATGAATTTGCTTTTTTCCTTTTGCAGTGACTTGGATAGAAATAACATTACAAGGATTACAAAGGTGGACTTCGCCGGGCTTAAGAATCTTCGTGTTCTGTGAGTATGAAGAAACAGTCTCTAAAGCCATGCCTTTGGTTTTAGTATTCAGTAGCCTCCGTAAAGAATATACTTCCTTGTATATGGTCAGTCTATCGGATGTTTGAATTGCTTTGCCTTTAGCACATACTGCATCCAATGCCAACAAAATACTTTCCAGCTCTTTAGGAGTACTCATGCCATCCCTGAGCAATAGCCATGCTGGTTGAGATTGATGGAAACTGTAGTCCAGAAACTTTCAAGGGCATGTGGTTAAGAAAAGCTTATCTACTGCATTAAAGAAACACTTTTCAAGGATAAATTTTTATGGACAGAGGAGATTGATAGCTTTCTTACCTGGTTACATATGATACACCATTTCACTTTCTCCTAAGGTAGCTCTAATAAATTAGAAGGCAGGAAATTTAGTATATTTGATCATTAGAAAAGCTTAAATGTTATTTCATCAGGCACCCTTGGAAGAAAAACAATCTTGACAACAGTCAGCTGATGTCACAACATGAATATTTGTCTCCAAATGAATTAACAAGCTAATGGATACTGACTCACAAAATACATGGACATAACTATCTGATCTAAAATATCAGATTTTATTTGCTCACACCTACGTCTTATTGACATAAACTGAGACCAGGAAGGGCAGCAATGAAGGAATTAGAAAATATTAAGTGTAAAGATATGTCACTGGAGACAAGACCATCAACACTCTTGTGTTTCCAATCACCATGCATAGGTGTGAAAGCTGGACAGTAAAGAAAGCTGATGGGGAAAAATAATAATTCATTTCAAATGTGGTGTTGGTGCTTTGTGAATACAGTGGTGCCTCGCATAGCGAGGGTAATCCGTTCTGGATTAACCTTCGCTATGGCGAAACATCGCTGAATGGAACGGGGAAAGCCATTGGAACGCATTAAACTTAGTTTAATGCGTTCCAATAGGCTCCAAAACTCACCATTCAGTGAAGTTGTCCCATAGCTGGCAGCCATTTTTGCGCCCTCGGTAAGCGAGGGGAGGGTGCGAAAACGCTGCACGGGGCCATTTCGGGGCTTCCGGCAGCCATTTTGGAACCGCCGAACAGCTGATCGTCGGGCATCGCTTTGCGAAGATCGGTAAGCGAAATGCTTACCAATCATCGCAAAGCGAGTTTTGCCCATAGGGGCCATCGGTATGCGATCGCATTTGCGATCGCTAAAACCTCTTCACTATGCGATTTCGTTGTTCTACAGTGCGCTCGTTAAACGAGGCACCACTGTACCCTGGACCACCAGAAATATGAGCAAATGGGTCCTAGATAAAATCTAGCCTGAACTGTCTTTGGAGGCAGAATTGTTGAAACTGAGGCTGTCATAGTTTGGACACATCATGAAAAGGCAGGATTCTCTGGAAAAGACCATCATGCTGGGAAAGGTGGAAGGCAGAGGAAGACCAAATATGAGATGGACTGACATCCTAAAAGAAGCCACAAGCAGAGTCTACAATAGTTGAGCAGGGCTGTTGAGGACAAGACATTTTGGGGATCGCTCATTGCTCATTCATGAAGTTGCCATAAGTTAGAGGCAACTTGATGGTGCATAACAACAGCAATGTCTTATTGCTCTCAAAAGAATGTGGCCCTCAACTTCATGTAGGTTGCTAAAATTTCTACCTTTGTCAAAGTACTCCCATTTCTATTTGTCATTGAAAGACTGCAACATCAAATAGTAAACCTGAAATAGTCTTTTTAATTTTAATTTTAATTTTTCTTAAACTGCAATATAAAGATAAAATACATAAACCAAAATACAAATCGACTGTGTTTCCCACCACCATAGTCAGGACCTCTTGCAGTAATCTTCTTCCTCTATCTTGATTCTTCTTCCTTTATTGCCCTCTTCTCCAGAACTGCATTGATTCTTGATTTTGAGCTTTCCCTTTTCCTCTTGCTAACACATATTCAAGAAATCTGCCACATATATCATAGAAATTATTCTTTTTCATCTCTTCTTTCTTGACCTTTAAGTTACAGGTTAACTTCTCATTTATAGCAGTGTTCCATATTTCATTATACCATTATCCCACTCGAAATTTAGACTTTGATTTCCAGTTCCTAGTTATTATCAATCTAGCTGCTGTTAATAAATTGGTGATCAATTCTCTACTCATCATATTCCACATTCTCAAATATTGATAACAGAGCTGTCCCAGGATTAAATTCTATATCTTTTTCACATATGTCATTTAGTTCTTTAAAGATTAGTTTCCAAAATCTTTGTAGTTTTTCGCATTCCCACCAAATATGAAAGTATGTACCAATTTCCTTCCCACATTTCCAACAGACATTCAGATAACTAGTGTTAATTTAATTTAATTTTGTTGGTGTCAAATACCATTTTAAACCCAATTTGAAAAGAAGTTTTTTTTATTCTCACCGACAAAAATCGTAAAACCCTCATTTTCCACATCTTCATGACCTTTCAATTTCATTTTATACAACCAGTCTTTTAATCTAATCACTTTTATTTCTTTAAATAGTTCTGCATGAACTTTCATATTGGCAGGAAAATTCTCTATTTCAATCACTAATCCTAATGGAGAGTTGAATGGACATAAATTCTTTCTATACTTGTACCAGACATTTAACATAATCTTTAAAAATGGGTTATTAATTTCACATATTTTATATTTTTAATTTTACCAAATAGATATTTTTCAATATCCACCTGTAATTCTGATGAAATTAACTTTTCTGGGTTATATATAAGTTCCCCAATGAACTTCAACTGATTAGCCAAATAAATTTTTTTTTTTATATTTGGTATACTTATACCTCCTTTTTTGTTATTTTATACCAATACTTTTTATTTACTCTGGCTGTCTTCCCTTCATTACAGTATTTATTAATCATTCCTTGCCAAAGTCTAAAATCATCTTCTGTTAACTCTACTGGTAACATTCCAAATAAAAAATTAATTTTTGGTAGAAACTTCATTTTTATCAGTGCAATCTTCCAAACCAAGAAAGGTTTAAGTTAGCATGTTCCTGTAGTTTCTTTTTAATATCTCCTTTTAATTTATTATAATTATGTTCCTTTATTTTTAGGGTATCTTTTACTAAATCTATATCTAAATATTTAACCAATTTACATATTTTAAAATCATATTTATCAACAAACGTTTCCTGTTCTAGTTTTTTATGATACATTATTTCAGGTATTTGCCAATTTACACAGAATCCAGTTATCCTTCCAAATTTTTCTAAATTAATTTTAATTCTATCTATACTTTCTAATGGGTTTTTCACTGTCAATCATCAACAAATAAATTAATCTTTATTTTACTATTTTCACCCATACCTTCAATTAAATCGTCATTCCTTATTGCATTTGCTAACATTTCAATAATCAAACAAAAAAGAACTGAAGAAATAGGGCAACCTCGTCTGGTGCCTCAGCCTGAAATAGTCTTAACTGTCTATATAGTACTTTTCAATGAACCAGGCATATAGATTCAGCTGAGAAATACTGACTGAAAGGGGTGGAAAGAATAGTCGCTAAGTTCCTTGTTCTTAATTAAGCTGTCTCAACATGATGAGACACCAGAGAACAGATTTTGAAGCCCTGTGAGATTCCTTACATTCTGAGGCAAAGAGCATTTATCTTTCCATCTCAAGATTTCTGCAATTTGCACTCTTCTTTACAGTCATTTCTCACTGAGAAATAAAGCCTGACTACACACAGAACATACAGAGAAGGACTGGATGAATTATAAAGATGGAAACAATCCATTTAGTGCTTTAAATTTTTAAACAAAAACAGCAGTCTGCCTAGTTTCAAACAATTCACACAATTCTTGCAGTTTTACCAATTACACCATTTTGTGCAAAATTTGGCCACTTTGGATAAAAATGGACAATTTTGAAAAAAAAGCTTGCCTCCTCACCAAGGTAAGAACTCTGTTGACAGTGCTAAAATTTTTCTCACAATCCTGATTGGCTAGTAGAAAAAATGATACACTTTCTCATTCTTTCCTGGCAAGCATTAGGCAAGGAAGAATACCTGCTGAATGGTGTGTGCATCAATTTGTTAATTAGGAACGTAGGAAGCTGCCTTATAGTGAGTCAGCCCATTGATCCATCTGATCCAATATTGTCAAGATGGACTGGCACTGGTAGGTTTTTCCCCCACCCCAGCCCCATAGAGAGGTGCTGGGAATTTAACGAAGGGCCTTCTGCATGCAAAGCATGTGTTCTGTGCTACTGAGTAATTAATTTTGAAACATAAGTAAAAGAGTACTGATGATGATTGCCACACACTGTGCAGCACAGCTCTGTATAGATGTATCCAGAAGGAAGTTTCATACTCTCCAATGGGGCTTAGCTCCTACCCACTAGGAACCAGCATCCTCTTGGTTTTAACATGCACAGAGCTAAGTGTGCAGAAGTGGCTGTGGCTGTTGGGTGAGGTTCAATCAGCATACAACTAGCATCTTGTCAAATGGGTTTGTCTACTTCTATGTGACTACAGCTCCTTCTTCTGCTGTGAAGCACAAGAGAATTCCCGTCTTAGTCTATTGCCCTGTTTTACTAGATTAGTCACTCTGGCTGCTTCTAAATGAAGCTTTTCTCCTCAAACATGTCCATAACATGATGCCTTCTTGCATTTGTAATTCTCCTGTATATTCCTTTTTTTTTCTTTTTCTTTCTTTGGTTAAGGAGGAAAAGACAGAGCAGATGCGCAGCTGAGACTCCCACCGGCCTGACTAAGTGCTGGGGCAGTGGGCAACTCCTCCTCAGTCTTTATATGTATGAGCTCCAAACTTGAAAGTTGAAACTCTTATTGAACCTTGGCTGGGGGGATATGGTGGAGTCTCTGACAACAAACCTCTGAGTTTCAGTCATTAGTTAGTCCCTCTAAGAGTCCAGTGTCCTTGGGGCCTCTAACTGCTTCCATTGAGGCTGGAATAAACACAATTGCAGAGCTGCCAAGGGTCCCCAAAGCTGTCCCCCACCTGCTTATGTCCTTGCAGAGAGGGTTTTTACAGGCAGGGCTTATAGACCCCTCCAGAGGCACTGCAGATGACCCCACATCTCCAGCTCTTATTTTGAGTCTGGGATGGCTGTCCCAGCAGTTGAGGTTGTCCTTAGCAGTAGTTTGAACATGGTGGAAGCTGGCAAGAAACTCAGTCTACACTGCAAGTTCCTCAGGGTATTCTGGCACTTAAAATGCAGAAAATGCACTCCAGTCCAGTCCAGGTGTCTCACTTGTACATGTGTTTATACTTGTCACCTGCCATGAAGGCCTGCATTTTCTGCACAGCTTGGCTTGCCTTCTTCCCCAGGTGTTCCTCCTCATCACCTCCTCCTGTCTTCTTCCTCTCGGCAGGCTGACCAGTCCCAGAGAGAGCCAGCAGGGTGAGATTAGCCTCACTCGGGGCTCAAGAGGTGATCCCCCTCCCCACAACACTCCATTTAGATCTGTCCTGTGTCATACTTTGATTCGGAGCCCTAGAGCTCATAGACCTTTAGAGGCTGATGAACTGCTACTCCCATATGCCATCACCCTTGCCCAGGCTGGTTGGAGCTGAAGGACACTAGAGAGCCACCGCGCCACCACCACCCCTTAATATGTTAAAGCAAACAGTAAAGAGAAATGCATGAGGTATTGTGTTTGTGTATGTTGAATCTGAAGGAAGAGAATACCTTCTTCAAGATATTGATTGATTGATTGATTGATTGATTGATTGATTTGATTTGATTTGATTTGATTTGATTTGATTTGATTTGATTTGATTTGATTTATATCCCGCTCATCTGGTCAAATCGACCACTCTGAGGGGCTTCCATAAAAAGTATACAGTGAAGCATAAAAATTTTTCAGATAAACAACACCACATATAATAAAACAAATAATAAATGGTAAGAGAAAGGAAATTAAGTATTGACAGGAGGGAAGGCCTGAACATATAACCATGTTTTTAGTTGACTCTTAAATATGCCCAGCGTAATCTTTTCCACGCCCAGTTTGAATAATATGAAAATTATTAACACCTACGAGCAGGAAAATAACTTGACACCAGCTCTTTGTTCATACTTTATTAACATCAGTCATTTTTCTTTTCTTTTATAGGCATTTGGAAGAGAATCAGATTAGTGTAATAGAACGTGGAACATTTCAAGATCTGAAGCAACTTGAACGTCTGTAAGTGTTCTCTTTGCTAAACTCTAGTTACAAGGTGGTAGTTACCTTAATGTGATGGTTCATAGTGAGGGAACAGTTTGTGACTTGTCACACATTGTGGCTGACTAAATCCTTGAAAAATGAGATTTAACTCTGAAGTGATGCTTTTCCAACTGGTTAGAAATTGGTGGAAAAGGTTTAACTTTTCATTTTGCATTGCTTTAAACCATGGTTATTTATTTTATATTTGTATCATTTATGCATGTAGCACTGTTAAAATGTATGATAAAAGAGAATAGATCTCCTTCCTAGGGCTTTCTAGATACAAAGTATTCAGAAACAGTTTGCCAGTTTTTTCTGGTGGTGTTCAGGGAATGTGTAGCTTGCCCAGGTATTTGCAGATGGTAGGGCATAGAAACCTATCTGTCACACACTTGGCTAGCCATTCCTCCAGGAGACATAGTGGGGATTCAAACTCCAGGCCCATGGCTGTGCAAACTTGATGTTCCAACTTCCTATGTTATACCACTTTCATATTGTCCCTTAAGTTTGATTGTACGCTCACAACAAAACATGGGAACTAGGAGATTGTGGACGGTATGGGATATGAGGGTATGAAAAAGGATGTTAATCAATAAAGGGCCAACAATCCTGCCTTCGGGGGATCCTTCATCATCTGCTGAGTGAGAAACAGTGTGGCTGTGCTGCCACCGGTTGTCAGCCTTCCTGGGGAAGTTCAGCTTGGGAATCCCTCTGCCTTGCAGGACTGAGCCCTTTCTGCCGCTGGCTGCCCCACCCCCTCCTCAACATCAGCCACCTGACTCGGAGGGGAGAAGGGGCTTTAGAAGGGTCTTTAGAAGGGGTTTTTAAAAATTGTGATTATCAATTGCCATCAGCTTATGTACGTAGAAACCAACAGTGGATCTGAGGGAATGGGAAGTGGGGAGGGTGTTGGAGGGGGAAGCCATTAAG